GTAGAGACGGGGTTTCACCATGTTGACCAGGATGGTCTCGATCTCTTGACCTCGTGATCCACCCGCCTCGGCCTCCCAAAGTGCTGGGATTACAGGCTTGAGCCACCGCGCCCGGCCTTCCAAATTCTTTTCTTGTGTTTATTGTCTCATGTACTTCTCACAGTAGTACTGAGTGGTACAGAAATTACTGCCACCTTGCCGATGACAGAACTGAGGCAGAGGGGGTTACAAAATTTGCTAAAGGTCCCACAGTTGTAAGCATTGGAGCAGGGACTGGGAATCTGACATCAGAATTTGCAGTCATGGATTTGCAGTCATGGCCCAGAGCTGTACTGCCTCCTGGATGCACTTCTCATAATTTTGTGGGCGAATTCCGTATATGGTTGGTGAATGGGGCATTCGTTATTTGTCCTCATTTCCCAGTAATAGTTAACAAGTATCCCATTGCTATGTATGAACTCGTCGGGCAGCAGCCTCTCTGTAATCTGCTTAGAGATGCTTCACCTCTTCTCTCAAATGCTGCAGCCCTAGGAGCACAGGCCCTCACAAATGTCTTTACTGAGTGCCTGACACTTTTTACTTTGCCTTCAGGGCTGATGAAGTTGTACAGAGAATAGGTTTTAGGAGTTGCCTGGGGTGACAGAAATCCATTATGACTGTCAAACTCTTAGCTGTAATATTCCATATGGTCAGAAGTCGTGGTATGTAACGAGTCTAGTTAATTTCTCACATGTTGCTCTATATAATACCATCTTTATTTTAGAGAAAAGTATAAAAAGATCACATTTGTTTTACTGAGTTTTTCCTGAGTCTTGGGCAGAGCTAGCATTTATTTTGGGTGACTGGTTAGTGGATATATTGTGTTCAGGATCACTTTGACTATGCACTTTGGGCCCCTAAGACTCAGTTCTCACCCTGTATTCCCCTCTTCCTCCACCCTATACCTTGAAGCTGATGGCTTAAGCTTAGTCATTTACCAGCATTTCATACTTGTTTTTTCCTAAGGCAGGATTCGGTTCTGGAATTGCGTTCATTAGGTTACAAAGATGCTGTATTTCTGCCTTTCATAACCTTCCAATTTGGTTTGTAAGATAAGTCATTCATTAAAAGCTAAGCAATATGAAGTTTTTTTAGATATAATAAGCTATCACAAGACTGAGGCAAGATTTGGAACCGGGGCAGAGTTGGGAAGATGAAATAGATTTTAGATGAGATTGAATCCATGCTAGGAAATAAAATGAGATTATCATTCTAATATTTGGTAATTAAGGATTGGAGCTCAGATGTAAGGATATAGGGGAGATTGGGGAGCCATCAATTTATAGGTGACAATAATAGAAACAGTAACATTTAACCAATTTTTGCAAAGGAAAAACTATAATGGATTCAACATTGTGGTGACTGGAATCAAAGGAGAATCCTTAATATAGGGGAACAGGAAATGTGTGTGTTGGCCAAATGAACCACCTAAAAATAAGGAAAAAGATAGAACACTTAAATGATTCTCAGTGAGATAATTCTTATTGTAGCTACTGTGTGATGTGATAGAAGAATACACGTTTTAAAGATTGAAGAAAATTGACTAAATACTGGGCATCAAGGAAAGACAGATTCCATAGAAGTAATGAAGTAGAATATGTCACATTGTAGTACAACTAGAAATTAATAATAAAAATCAGTAAATTAAAGTTCCTTCTACCTGGAAAATTTAAAACTCTTTAGCAACTGTCTTAGTCCATTTTGTGCTGCTGTAAAGGAATACCTGAGGCTGCGTAATTTATAAAGAAGTTTATTTGGCTCATAGTTTTTTGTAGGATACACAAGAAGCATGGTATCAGTGTCTGCTTCTGGCAAGGGCTTCACGAAGCTTCTATTCATGGTGGAAGGAGAGCAGACTTCACATGGCAAGACAGGAAAGAAGAGAGTAGGAAGGTACCAGGCTCTTTTAAACAGTCACATCTTAAGTGAAGTAAGAGTAAGAAATCATGTAATATCTTGAGGTTGTCCACATTCATGAGGGATCTACCCCCATGATGAAAATACCTCCCACTAGGCCCCACCTCCATCATTGGGGATCAGATTTCTTCTTTTTTTTTGAGATGGAGTTTCACTCTTCTTTGAATTTGGAAGTTTCCTTCTTTTTCTATATCTGGAAATTTTCCTAGCATTTGAATTGTATAATTTTTAAAAGTTTAGAAGGATTTTCTAGGAACTGTCTGAGGCTGGTGCTGTTCTTGGGTAGGTGGCTAGTCTTTTTTGATAATTTCTATTTTCTCTATGGAAATTGGTTTATTTTTGTTTAAATCTTACTAGTTTTTTTTCTATTTTTAACTCATTACTTTATTACTTTCTAATTTGTATTTATTAATACTTTTTTTTTTTTTTTTTTTTT